AGACTCTTGTGCTCTTTAATTTTAGAAACATTCCGAGAGTCTTTGTGCACTCAAATTATATTTACTACAAAAGCATAATGATCTGTAAATCGTCTTCGTGACATATATCTGTGAAAAACGCTATAAAAATAAAAACTTAACTTACTTATACATGTATCAGCATACTAGTCCCAGTGCTAATTGTTTGCTAAACCACTTTTTTCATGTACAATTCCTGCAATCCATATATAATAACTCAAAATGGGGACCTTGCTTTTTATTATTTCTGAATATGGATATTATTTTAAGTTTTAAACATTACATTTAAATGCCAAGGTGAGCAACGCAAAAACAAACAAACAAAAAAAAGCCTGACAGGTCCACTTTAACTTGAACCGACATCAGGATGCTTAAATTGTATTTCTTTATTTTTAAGTCAGGCAGTCAGAGAGCGTAGTTTATGAAAAAGCTTTCTTCCTGATATTTGTCTTGCCCTTGGCCAAACCCTTTTATTTGGTTTGACATTGTACCACAGTGTGAATAATATTAGGCGAGTTTATCTGGATACAGTAATGAGGCTGTCTAAATGCCACATTTACTGGTTTGAATCTAATTGTCAAATATGAGAAACTAATTTGACTGTTCCATTTTCATTTTTGTTTACTAACATTAACATATTAATCACTCACACGGAATACTCATTTTGACCCAATTACATTTCTGTATGCTCCGTGTCATATTATTATTATTATTATTATTTGCGCCTCAGTGGACAATTTATCTTCAGATTTCATTCATTCCCATCATAAATTTTCCAAAACGTGCTAAAACAATCGCTGTCTCTGCTGCCGTGATTTGTGGCGTTGACGAGATTCTCCATTAATCCACTGAAAAAATACGGTCGCGAGGGAACGATGTGACAATTGCTGGTGACTTTTGTACTCTAGTATCAACAATCTCCCCATTAACAACTCACTAAATCAGTGTTCTGACCCTTTTAGAGTCAGGTCCTGCATTAGTTGACCTTGTCTCCAGCGCTGAAACCAGACAACTGCCTTTATAAGTCCTTAGCGCCTCGTACCTATTAGCATTCTCTTTGCACATAAGTATGATATTAATTACAGTGAGTCATTATAGCTGCCCTTGCCTGCACCTGGGCAAAGTTAATAGTCTATTAGTAAAGCATTAACATCCGATGGGTGTCCTCCCTGTGTGTTTTAGCTGCCGAGTGGGACCTGCAGAACATCATCGCTCTTAGCACAGTCAAGGGGGAGTTTTTTTTTTTGTTTTTTTTTTACTGGATTAGACCTCGGCAGGTACGGGGGAGGAGAACGGTAACATCTCGTGGGTAACCTGCGTGCGTTGGCTTTGGAGTGAAACTTTGCAAAACTTAATCACCAAAGATGCAGTTGTGGAATATTAAATTAAAAAGATAAACTGTGGCGCTTGGACCCTGGCAGGCGTAAAAAGCAATAGATGATGTAAAGCATTAAAAAAAACAATGATTTTCTTCATTATTTGTCTCCAAAATCAAAAAATAGATAACGATTTGTTTTTTCAGTTTTCGATTTTGTGTTTACGTGACTTAAACTGAGATGCCGGACTGAACCAGGACTGAACCAGGACTGAACCAGGACTGAACCAGGACTAAACCAGGACTGAACCAGGACTAAACCAGGACTAACCATGACTAAACCATTTTCAGTCCTGGTCTGGTCCCAGTCTGTCCTGGTCTCTGTCCTGGTCTGGTGCTGGTCTAGTCCCGATCTCAGTCCCGATCTCAGTCCCAGTCTCAGTCCCAGTCTCAGTCCCAATCTGGTCCCAGTCAGGTCCCGGTCTCAGTCCTGGTCTCAGTTCTGGTCTAGTCCCGGTCTCAATCCCCGTCTCAGTCCTGCTCTGGTTCTGGTCTAAGTCCTGGTCTCAGTCCCGGTCTGGTTCCAGTCTGGTCCTGGACCTGTTTTAGTTCTAGTTCAGTCCTTATGTGGCGCAAAAGTTCGGCGTCGCAGTTTAAGTCACGAAAACAGGAAACCGTTCCATTATTTATTTAAGCACAAAATAAAAAACTGAAAAAATGAATCGTTATGCCTTTATTTTTTTCATTTTGGTTTTGGAGACAAATAATGAAGTAAATAGTTGTTTTCTTTTTTGTTTTCTTATTTAATTTATTTATTTTTAAATGAATGAACAAAAGATACAAGGATTATGATGGAGTAGTTTTTTATATCTCAAATAGGGATGCACTGATCCAACTTTTTCAGTTCCAATTCTGATACTATTGCTTAAAGTATCTGCTAATTCCCACAAAGACTGAAAATACCATCTATTTCCTCAACACATTTGGATCAGTTTTGTTTTATTTTAGTTTATTATTTATTCATTTTATTATTTTATTTATTTCTCATGTAATGACAGTTATAAATAGTTCAAACTTCATGAGACTTTCTGGGCCAACTACGACGAATAGTTTTATTTAGGGATGTAGTGATATCAAAATCCGTCAGTACGATATTTTCATGATATGCATCTCACGGTTTGATATTTATTGTGATATTTTGCGAATATGCAACTTTTCCTTTTAAAAGTGCTTAATAACCAAACACCAAAAGGATCATGGTCTATGCAGTTCCCCTCCTTTTCTTTTTTAGCTAATGGTAATGGCAAAGCAAGGCAGGTTTATTTGTTAGTGCTGTCATGCGATTAAAAAAATTGAGAGATTAATTAATTATGATCTGTAATTAATTAATCTAATTAATCTCATTTTAATCTCACCTAAAAATTGCTGAGAAAAGCCTTCAATTTGAGGTATTTTCATTTAAATTCATTATTACATTATTGTGGCAGATCAAAAGACTGATATAGAAAATTTAAAAAAGTGACTTTATAAAGTCATTTATTGTTTAACAAATCTCTCCAATTTGGCTGTTGAGCCCAAGTCTCCATGAATAAGAAACTGTTTGTTGTAAAGTAGCAAAGACGAGGAAATCTGAACATAATAACTTTTGTTTACTTAAAGACAATAAAAAGTCCAGTCTTTCCTTAACCATATTAAAAATATTATTGATAGAGAAATGCTTTATATATGAGATCACTGGTTTTAGTCCTGGTTTAGACCTGCTTTAGTCCTAGTTTAGTCCTGGTGTAGTTCTGGTTTAGTCTGGTTTAGTCCTGGTTTAGACCTGGTTTTAGTTCTGGTTTTAGTTCTGGTTTAGTCCTGGTTTAGACCTGGTTTAGTCCTGGACTGGAATTAGTCCTGGTTTTAGTCTTGGTGTTAGTTCTGGTTTAGAGGCGCACAGGAGGAAGTGCGGTTTACGCCGCGTACGCGCGAAAACACGATCCACACGCAGCTCACGGGAGCACGTCGGTGTCCACGCAGTAACTACGGAAGGAAACGTGGTCCGCGCGTTCTCAGGTTAATGACGATGATGAAGGTGTGTGTGTTTGTGTTTGTGTGTGTTGTGTGTGTGTGTTTGTTTGTGTGTGTGTGTGTGTGCGTGTCCCCTCATGTGGCAGGTCACTATAGGACAGTAGTGCAGACATCATCAGTCTATGCAGGTTGTTTTCACCAGTGACATTTAAGTTGTAGGCGATTTTATATTTGTTATTTTCTTTTATATTTCACGTCGGGAGAATAATTTCCAAGACACGAATGTGTTTTTACCTGTGCACTGCTGCCTCTGTTCTACTGTCTCTTCGACGCCGCCAACGTTAACATGACGTTCACATCGCTCTTACTGCGCGCGTTTTGTGTGGGTTTCCGGCAATGAGTGGAATTACCGAAATAAAAAAATGTATAAATGTGTTTTTTGTGTGTGTGTTTGTGTTGTTGTCCCAACAACACATAAAAACAGGTTTTATAATAAAGCAACTCACATACAGAAACACTAAAGTTAGAGATTAAAAATGAGATTAAAGCGATTAAAAAACATAACGCGCTAAATATGACTGTAATTAATTAATCGCAATTAACGCGATAATTTGACACCCCTATTATTTGTATAGCACAAATCGACAAACCAATTCCAAGTGCTTTACAGATTAAGAAAGACAATTAAATCACAAAGAAAGACATAAAAACCATATAACTATTAATGTAAGAAAAATTGTGATCACCCACGATATTATTATAAGACTTTTGACAATTCAATATCATGATATTTCAGTTATTATTACATCCTTAGTCTTATTACATCAGTTTATCTGTCCTGTCAGAATATTAGCTGACCTGATATTTGGAAGCTGATATATGATGTAGGAAATTTGTCATTATCGGTGGAGATATCAGATGCCAGTATCGGATCGGTGCATCCCTAATCTCATATATCACACTGCTGATGAGAACTTTGGTGCTAAGAACTTATACCTGCAAAAGTATATTAGAAAAGCAGAAAAATCTCACAGGCGTCCTCCTAATGTGTTTTTGTTTCATGGTTTGTGTAGTCTTTTTTTGTTCCGTTGATGAATTGGTTGATAAAGTTTAAACAAACACATTTTAATTGTAAATATCCACCACAGTAGAACAGTGAATGCATGGATTTAGAAAAGACCGGACAGTTCAATCTACCTTTTTAACCTCTGAAGTTGTGGTTTGTTAGTACTTCACTTGACACAGTTGTATTACATTTTTGGGAGCTTTGCCAGTGAAACCTCGGCACTTATAGCCAAAGTTAATGGTGTATTTTAAGTATTAGCATCTCACAAATGTACTGCCTGTGTGTTTTACCTTGTTGAAATCACACTTGCAGAACATTATTAAGTGTAAGAATTCGGCTTCGGCAGATTTTAACAATAGTGATGTATTGAATTGAATAGATTTGATTCCTTCCCTTGTGGTGAATAAAAAAAGATTGAGAAGCTGAAGTCGCTCGTGATTCAGCTCATGGTCAGTTGAAGAATTGCTTGATGACAAAAGGGAGGAATAATCACTAACCATTATAGCTCCCCTTGCCTGCACCTGGCCAAAGTTAATAGTCTGTTAGTAAACGATTACCGTCTAACTGGTCTCCTCCTTGTGTGTGTTTCAGCTTCGTGGGTTGGGACCTGCAGAACATCATCACCCTGGACGCGGTGGAGGAGGACAGCCGCTCGCAGATCATGCTCAAGAAGGTGCAGTCTCCCGTGGTTCTCCTCTACTCCTCCAAAGACGAAGCTGTGATCATCTTGGAGGAGGCACGATCCCTAGGCCTCACAGGATTCGGATACATCTGGATAGTTCCGTCCCTCACCACCGGCAACCCGGAGATCACCCCCGAAGAGTTCCCGTCGGGCATGATCTCCGTGTCCTACGACGACTGGGACTACCCCATAGAGGCGCGGGTGAGAGACGGGCTGGGGATTATCACGTCGGCGGCGGCGGCCATGTTGGAGGAGCACGGGGACATACCGGAGGCGAAGACGTCGTGTTACGGCCCCATGGAGAAGACCAATAAACTCCCGCTCAGCGCACTGCACAAGTAAGTGGAGAGAAAATGATGTGTGGGTGGATTAGAATAGTACCCTTTATGTTATCGTTCAGATTCTTTCCTGTTACATGCATTTTTTTAAAGTAAAGATACTTGTTCAAAAGAGTATCTACTCTCAACACTAGTTTTACTATTACTGTTAGTATCAGATTTCCATTTTTTTTTTTTACAATCCTAGTATGAAATATGTAGAAGTTATAAGTTGAAATTGAAAAATGACTTTAGAACTTTTTAATAATTTAGAAGAGGGGTGCCCAGTACATTGATTGCGATCTAACAGTCAATCTCCAAGTTAGTGTGGGTCCATCGTAGTGTCGTAGTGCTCAAGACCATTTTTCTCTGGTTTTGGTCTTGTCTCAGACTCGACTGCGTCTTGAGACGGTCTTGTGTCGAACTCGAGGTCTGACGCTCAACGAGTGCGATCATGTTTCATTATGGCTGCTGCTGCCGGCAATAAACTTGTACCGGTGTGCGGGTTAAACTTTTTAACTACTTGTCCATCTGCCTCTCGTCAGCTCGCCGCTCCTCGTCTTTTCGTGCACTCTCAGTTCATTCAATTTTTAATTTTTGTGCACTCTCTCCTCCCTGCATATAGCACACACAGGCTTCTTCCTTAATGTGCGCTGATTAGAAGGGCAAGACGAAACCCTAAGCAAAAACTAATCTAAATTCATGTGCAGCTTTGGCACAGAGGAGCCTACAGCACAGAACAGACCTACCGCGACATGTGGTTGAAGTTTGCCTAATAAAAGTGCACAAATGCGTCTGTATTTGTCACGAAGTCCATTTGGTTTGGTAATTCTCAGTATATTTATAAATAAATGATTTGCATTTTTGTAATAGGTTCATCATTTTGACTTGGTCATTTAATAAGTAGCTCGCATGCTGAAAATGTGTGGGCACCCCTGATTTAGAAAGACCAGATAGCTTCTATTCAAGTTCAAAATTCAGTTCAACTCGTGTTTATTGTAGTATTTCATCATTAAAGCTGCACTATGTAACTTTCCTGGTGTGGATTTTGCCATATGCTTTCTCCTTGGAGATATTACTGCTTTTCCACAGTGGCATTAAACTTATCTATGGTGCAAAAATTCAGTGACAGGTGTTTCTATTGCAAAAAAACATGCACTGTGAGCGGGCTCCTCGGCTCTCCACAGATGTGACCTGTAATAGCCCTGATGGTGTCACCTGCTTATCTCCATGGGTGAATTTAATGCCATATTTTGGAACATTTCAGGCAAAGCTGTACCACAAAGACAAACATGTAACGAATCATTCATTTTAAAAGTTACACTGCACCTTTGAGCATTTAATTAACGTAACTTAAACTAAATAAAACTCTTGGATATTGATTATTTTCACTTGAAGGAGCTGTTGATTTTTCCAGTAGATGTAATGTAACTGTGCTAGAGGAAGTGGCAGGAGTCAGGTTGTACCATCAGCAGAAATAGCTGTTATTGTACTGGCCCATATGGCTAATGTTGTAATTAATAGGAGCGCGGTACAATCCTCGTGATGATGGCGGGAGTGGACGGGTGGTATCCTCGCTCTTATTGGTAATAGTAACTGTACTAGTCGTGCTTGTTCCACTGATGTAATGAGACAAATGAGTTCCCATCCGGCGCGGCGCACAAGTAAGTGGAGCTGTAACAACGCGTGGGTGTTTGTTTGCTGTCTATAATGATCGACAGAGAGGGGAAAGAATCGCTGCTGTTAATAATGGATGACTGAGCCGCCTTGGATTCCGCGCGTCTTAACAGCGCGTGGATCTTCACTTGAATGTTTATTTTTCAGACCCTATATTGATCTATATAGAATGAAAAGGCTTTGACTAAGTTTGCGACAGGTTGCTAGAAAGTTCTGAAACTGCATGTGTTTGGTTTCAAGTGTTATTAGCGGCGCTGACTGACAGTGATGAGGAAAAGGAGATGGAGAGGTCGAAGAGGAGGATGGTCCTGCTGCTGCTGCTGCTGCTGTAGACGTGGAGTAGAGAGGTAGATTTACATAGCTTCAGGCTGGGGTATCCAACATTTTTCTTGTAGATTTTGTGTATTGTAAAGGCAGCAATTTGTGACAAAATTCTGTCTGCAGCTAAAAATAAAGTATTGTCTTTCTTGTCAACTATACAATGTGTGTAAAAGCCCTTAGTCTTCCAGGTAGAATCCATGGCAAAGGAGAAACTCAATTTGTCAACTGGACAAATTATTTTGGTTGAAAACGTTTCACAGTTCATCCAAGCTGCTGCTTCTCTTCTGCTCAGATTGCCGGTGGACACTGCCTTATTATATCTGTCTTCAGGGAGGGGCTAACTACTCTGAAACTAACACACCTATTGTTTACAGTTTCTATTTGTGAGCTCGGTCTATTGAACTGCACTTTGAAAAGAAATGGAGGCATCAGACATCATCTGTCTCCCATCTACAACTCCATCCTTGGATCTAAAACAAAGAAAACAATAGGGAGAGGCAGGTCGGAGCCAGAGGTGTGAAAGCATCCATTATGGGCCTGAATCATTATGCTAATATGACACTCAGCGCAAGTTCAATAGACCTGGCTAACAAATGGAAACTGTAAGCAAGTAGGTGTGTTAGTTTCAGAGTAGTTAGCTCCTCCCTGCAGTCAGATAAAAGGCAGTGTCCACCAGTGTCTGACCAGAACTGAAGAAGCAGCTTGGATGAGCTGTTAAATGTTTTTGACCCAAATAATTTGTCCATTTGACAAATTTCTCGAATTTTTAATTTCTCCTTTGCCATGGATTCTACCTGAACGACTGAGGGATTTTACTGTGGTTGACAAGAAAGAAAGTACTTTATTATTAGCTGCAGACAGAATTTTGTCACCAATTGCTAGTGTAGTTGTCTCCTCCCTGCAGACAGATATAAAGGAAGTGTCCACCAGCATCTAACTAGAACTGAAGAAGCAGTTTGGATGAGCTGCGAAGCATTTTCAACCAAAATAAACATCTGTCCAGTTGACAAATGTTATTCCTCCTTTGTCATCAACCATAGAAAGTATATAGAAGTGTGATGTCAACCATAACCTTCAATTTGCAACCAAATGAAGCCAGTCGAGGTTCAGTTACAGCGGTCTTATCTGCAACCAGGGACCATATTTGGAAATCTGAGCATGAAACCGAAGAGCCAATCAGAACTAAGGTAGCTGAAAGTACACACCCCTTCCTGCTTGCATTGGTTTGGCAGAGGGAGCAGGTTTTTAGCAATGCTGTCAATCAAACCTGTTTTAAACACTAGCAGCGGTGATCTCAGGGAATACAGGCGACTGATTGGTCTGTTATTAATGTTCATACCTTGATTTACAGACAAAATAGCAAAATAAAAACACCAGGATCACGTAGAGAGGTTTAATCCGAACATTTTAAACTCAGAATGACGAGAATCCGTTATCATTCTTTCATTCGTTTTTCAATATAAAACCAAAAATAAGAAAATGAAAAAACAACAGTTTTCTTCGTTATTTGTCTCCAAAACCAAAATGAAAAAACGGATAACGATTCGTTTTTTCAGTTTTCGATTTTGTGTTTAAATGAAGAATGGAAAAACGGATAACGGCCGTTTCCTGTTTACGTGACTTCCGTGACTGCGATGCCGGACTTTTGCACCGCATACGGACTGAATCAGGACGGATCCAGGTCCGAGACCAGACCAAGACCAGAGCGGGACTGAGAACGGGACCAGACAGGGACCAGAGTGGGACCAGAGTGGGACCAGGGCGGACTCCCAGCTTTGACTCCGAGCCTCCACGGGGTCCGAGCCTCATCTTCGAGCTCCGGCCCTGCCGTGGGCTCTGAGCCTCCGGTCTGGTCCCGGTCTGGTCCTGGTCTTGTCTCGGTCTCAGGCCCGCTCTGGTCCCGGTCTGGTCCCAGTCTCAGTAGCGCTTTGGTTCCGGTCTGGTCCCGGACCTGGTCCATTTGAACCAAAAGCTCTTAGTTCGATTCATTTTCATTGGTGTGAATGCGTCAGTCGGAGGCTTTGCTCCACCTCGGAACCAGCCGCGGTTCTTGAGCGCGGAGAACCAGAGCAGCTCTGTCCCGGTCTCAGTCCCGCTCTGGTCCCGCTCTGGTCTCGGACCTGGATCCGTCCTGATTCAGTCCGTATGCGGTGCAAAAGTCTGGCATCGCAGTCACGGAAGTCACGTAAACGGGAAACAGCCGTTATCCGTTTTTTCCATTCTTCATTTAAACACAAAATCGAAAACTGAAAAAACGAATCGTTATCCGTTTTTTAATTTTGGTTTTGGAGACAAATAGCAAAGAAAACTGTTGTTTTTTCGTTTTCTTATTTTTGGTTTTATATTGAAAAACGAATGAACGAATGATACACGGATTGACGAGGTGTACGGGAGCAGTCGAGTGTATTGGAACTAGAGCTCAATGGGACCACTTTGCGCCCGTGCTCACTTCCCATTTGGAACGTCGCGGCCATCGGGCTCGATATGTCCGTTTATATACAGTCACCCAACCGTAAGACGTGATTGGTCGAGAAGCAAAAGTAGCAGGTTGTGATTGTCTGACAGGAGACAGGCGGTAGGCAGAAACGATCGAAAATGTCCACCCCATTCCCTATATAGTGCATCATTTTGTAGTGGTGTCCAAATGCCAGGCGAGTGAGCAGTAGTGTACACTCCAAATATGCCACGTTGCTTCTTTATAAGTAGTGGACAGTGATGGTCACTAGAGGGGTCATTATATACCGTATAGTGTGCAAAAAATAACATTGCAACCAACAAAACAGATAAACCGCTGTGTTTGCTGGAAAATATACACTAGTTTTGTAAGCCAGATAACTAAGGAGTATATGTAGCAGTCACAGAAAATATTTTAAATGCTTTTTGATTTTGTTTCTGTGTAATTTTCAGTCGTCCATGTAGGATCCAAAGCAAAACAACAAACAGAAACTAAACAAGTAGGTGTGAAGAAGCTGCTTGGATGAGCTGTGAAACGTCTTCAATCAAAAACATTTGTCCGGTTTACA